CATAGTCAGTCAATGTCAGTTACTGGGGCATGTTCTCACCAGTGTGAATCAAATTTCAAAAGGGGCTAGCCCAGCAGGTGTATGGAACTGTTGTGCAATGATCCCTGCTTTTGTTGTGCAGTGATCCCTACTTTTGGTTTGACCTCAAACCTTCATAAGTACAATGTGCCTAAAATGCAACTTCAGTCCTACCCTTGCAAGCATGCACGGGAATGAAGCCTTAAAAAGTAATCCCATGCCACAAAAAAGTGAAAGAACAACACTAGAATGTCTGCATGGAGACTCTTTCAAATGGTTTCTAGGGGTGCACCCACCTGAACCGAAAGTTTCCAACATGTTTCCCATTTCCAGCCTAAAAGATTTAGATTCAGCACCTCTCCAATACCTGGGCTGCAATATCTCTCCAAGACCTCTCCAATATCTGGGCTGAAATACCTCCCCAATATCTGGGCTGAAATACCTCTCCAATATTATGTGATTCCTTGTGTCAGTGGTGGAACACATGCACCCAAACTCAACCCCAGCATTCCCAGCACTTTTTTTTGAACCAGCAAATGCTGTGTCTGGAAGAGTTGTCGCAGCAGGCCTCCTCAAAGCCCACCTAGGCTGGGTGGCTGGCAAGAACTTAGCAGCCCATTCAGCTTTCTCCAACATCAGTCCAATAGCTGTCTTGGCGCATCTCCAATAAAAACAGGACCTATTGGAACTTGCAGTAGCCAAGAGACTGGCAGGGCTTGTCTCCCCCAGAGGTACCAATAATGTCCTTTTGGTAAAAATAGAGGGGCCGGTTTGGTATACCATCTATCATCATGCACCTATTGTTACAGGGGCTTGTTCAAACCCCTCTATTAACCAACCAATCAATGGGAAAAGGACATCTATGGGTACTACTATACATACCTCCCTGGGGCCATGTTTGAACATTATGCTTCTTTCCCATGTCTCGTGTTTCTTCTCTTTTTCTCTGTCTCTCTTCTTCTTTGCCTTTGCTCTTCTGGTTTCTCTCCATGGGTCTATCTGGGCTTGTGTCCAGCCCTGAGCCAGCCAATACTCATCATGGTCGTGCTCTTTCTTCTGCCCTTCTGGTGTCCAGTTGCCACAATCCTCATCTGCAGTCCTGCGGCCCAGTGGCATGTCACTGACCAGCTCCCAAGGAAATTCATCTGGCAAATGAAGAGGTCCTGCACCCAATACATGACATGGGCCCAAACATGATCGCACATTTGCATCAGAGTTGGCTATTTGGTGGGCCTTTGGGATTGCCTGCAAACAATGAAAAAACAAGCTTGCTCAATGTGAGCAGAAAGCAAGATAACACATTACCACAGAGATATTCCCAGCTGCTGTCCTTTGAGGTCCTTTGGGCTCAGGAACTGGTGTGTCCCCTGCAATCCTGCAAGCATTCACCAATGCCTGGTTTCCATGCCAGCATTCTGCCTGTCCTCAATATGTTTTTCTCCAATATCATAAAGACAGCAATGGTCTCATGGCAGCAGGTGCCTCTCCAAATCAATGCCATCATCATTGCATTCCTGCAAAAGAGGTAGGTCACAAGTAGAGAACGGTCCTGGAAGGTGCTTTTGCTGTTTGGGCAGACAGAGCTTCAATCCTGCAGGGAGAAAATAGAACAGGCCTGAAACAAAGGTAGCTTTGCAGCCTTCACTTGCAAACAAGAAGTCCTTTGGGTTTGCTCTGGGTTCTTCGCATCGGTGCTTTTTGAAAATCTTTTCCAGGCCCTGGCAATGGATTTGTAAAAAAATCGCCACAGGTAACAGGTCCTGGATTTGTTCACATTCAGTCCTGTTTGGCTCTTCCTCTTCTTCCTTGCCTTGGCTCCTGGGTGAAGCACCAACCAGAACCCAACTTTTGTCTGCCAGAACCAAGCAATACAATTGTGCAGAAAACTGCTGGGTCCTTGCAAAGCTGCTTTCAGTAGTCTGGGTTCCTGTGGTCTTCATCTCTTTGCTGACTAACTCTGCAATGGGGTCAGTGCCAGGATCTGTGGTGTAAGGCCTTGCATGCAATAGCATCCACATATCCACAGTTGCAAATATTGCCCACTTCCTTCCCTCCTCCACTATTTTTAGAACATTGGATTCCAAATATTGTTTTATTCACTCATAGGATTGGTACACCGCATTTTGTTTTCAAAATTGCTAAATGGTTTCCAATCGTGTTTAGCCAAGGCTCCTTGCAAGGTCTTGGTCACGGTGGCTCCTTAGAGCCTCTGCAGGTTTGCCCCTGCCCCGGGCCTCAGTAAAGGAGCACCAATACAACAACCCCATGCTGTCCCCAATATGCTACCAATGCCTTCAATACTTTAATACGTTGCTACAGTTGCAGTTGTAGTTGTGGTGTGGCGTAATTAGTGTAGTGTATTGTAGTGTACTGTAGTGGTGTACTGTAGCGTGGTATAGTGTAGTGTAGTCTAGTGTATTGTAGTGTAAAGTCGTGTAGTTGTAGTGTCGTGTAGTGCAATGTATTGGTAGTTGCAGTTGTA